ACCGACAGAAGCAAAAACCTACGCTCCAAATAATTACCAAATTATCCAAATAATAATTAGTTTCACTTCAAAAGACTACGAAATTTTTATCCTCCAGTATCCTTGAAAAACTACAAATTTCTTCGATTGATTTCTGTTTATTATCGCACAAATTTCAAATTTTTCGTGTGTGGAAAGTAAAAACATACACCGGATGATAGGTGGGGTAATCTCACAGCAACTCCAAGCCGACAAAGGGTACCGTCATCTCATTTTCTAACTACTATTTACTAGGGGCACCTTAATAAATATATCTACATAGTATTTGCGCAACACCCTGCAGCTACAAATTTATGTACATATATGCATAGCTTCCCAGTCAATCAAGCAATCATTTGATTTAACATTCAAGTGGTATCAATAAAATTAACGATGCGCTATTTGAACTCACAGCTGCACGAAAGGGAAAATACTGTAATTTTATTTATCTTGGAATTTATCTAAACTTGTAAGCGATTTAGTGATTCGTCAAGCAACATACATATATAAAGGGTATATCCAAACAAAAAAAATTTTGTTGGTGTAGTAAAATTTTAAGCAGATTTTGCCAGTTATTCGTTGCCCAAAGGCAAAATTCTAGCAAATCTGTCTATAGTACTCAACCGTGCCTTAATACCTTAAGTATTTGCGCTAAATTTTATGCCTAATAAAGCAATGCCATTATTTGCTTAAACATTCGTACGTACGTACGTATGTATTTACAAGAAGATATGTATATAACTTTTTCTTCATCTAATCGCGAATCGTGCACCTGGCGGGCGAGCAAATATGCAATCAGTGAAATTTTCGCAAGTTTGCAAGATAACAAATCAAGACAAACGCGTAAATCTATGAAAGAAATCTTCTACTCAATTTTCGTGGAACACATGTGCAAACAACACGTACGCAAAAACGCACCGATGGCAAAGGAGGTATAAAAAAAAATGATAATTTACTTTTGAGTATGCACTTATTTACATATTTATGTACACTCCACTTCACTTGAATAGCACATTTTCATTCCTCAAGCGCTTATGTAGCTTATTTCGCCACTTGTGAACTTGTATGGGGAAATTTTGTTTTAGGCTTATTTTGAAGAATGATTATGAAGAAAAATAATAAAAAATTAACAAATTACGTTTGCTAGTTGGATTTTTAAGCGTTTTTTTGGAATGAAATCGAATTCGAAGATATTTACCAGGCTAGACGCGCAGTGATCAATGTCCTTCTTCTTATGTCGCGCTATAACTGCTTAAGCGATTTTGGTCCAGTTCAACAAAGCACGCCAGTCGTTTCTCTTCTGTGCCAACTACGCCAATTGGAAACGCCAGGTGAGGCCAAGTCCTTCTCCACTTGGTATTTCAAGCGAAGTGGTGGTCTCTTTCTTCCTCTGCTACCACCAGCCGGTTCCGAGTTGAATACTTTCAGAGCTGGAGCGTAGGTGTCCATTCGGACGACCTGGCAAAGCCAGCGCAGCTGCTGTATTTTATTTCACTGCATTATGTTCACTTCCTTTTAATGCTTATATAGCTCATCGTTCCCACGGATCCCAAATTCAGACAACGCGGCAAAAAGGCAATTCCCTTTTGAGCTGTCGAAAGTGGCTTTGAAACTGACGAATCTTTTTTCGCAAGTCCTTTCCAAGATTTGGCGTATTGTGAATACCTGATCGATGGTGGATTTTCCCGACCTAAAGGCACACTGATCCACAGGGTCTTGGTTAAAGCTCTGGTCAAAGGAACTTCGCAAAAAATATAGGAAAAAAGTAGTTTCTTAACAGCGGTTGCCCTTCGGCAGGCAAGAGCAAACCTGCGATTTCCGTCATGAAAATGAGCTTCTCGTAAAAATACCATCGACGTTCGGAGTCGGCATAAAACTGTAGATCTCTCCCCTTTGTGTGGCAACATCAAGGCGTAGGCCACAAATCTAACAAACACTAACATACATAAAGCGCCATTCTATTATTATTATTAAAGGCACACTTATTAGGCTCAATGGGTTCATCTGACCATATTCTGCATAACCTCGCCGCCGTACTTGAACAGCTGAGCTGGAAGGCGGTCATCTCCAGAACCTTTGTTCTTTTTCAAGCGCGCTGTTGCTATTCGTACCTCCTCATAGTCAGGTGGTGGAGCATCGACTCCGTCATCATCAACTGGGGCTCCATTTTACCCGAAAAGAAATCGAAGTCGCCGATAATACTAGATTGTCTAGACCCCGGGTCTGCCAGGAAACCAATACCGCTAAGTCTGACCGCCACACCTGCTGTAGACGTTTTACCTGCAATGTCGACAATTGCTATCTTAAGTATAACGTTAAGAGCCAGAGTGGCAGTGGTCTTAAGCGCTCAACTGATTCCTATGAGCGCAGCTCGTTGTAATCGCTGCAGCCTGCTGACTAACGTAGACCCCTCCAAGACTTCATAAAACATAATGGGCTTGACTATGATTGATAGGATATGATAGAGCCAGAAAAGCCATATCTCTTACCAATTACCAGAGAAGGGGTAAGAGAAAACCACCCCCTGGAGCATGCCTCTGCTTAGCCTGCGCTGGATGGTGGCACTATTCCACTGCGCTGCAACAATTCTGTCACTGATTATGTGGTGTATTGTCCCAAGCTTAATCAGGGATCTGACTATCGCCCCCGGTAAGAGATTTTTTAAAAAGTAGTGTGCATACATACTATTTGTTCCTTACGATACCTTAACATGCCAAAGAAAAACTATTTTTATTGCCTACTAACTTTCTGTTATCACGAAAAGAAAAAAATATCCGCTTTTTCATGTCGGGCAAGAAATATTCTCAAACATTCTGCGTGCGACGTATCAGTTGTGGGAGAATACCAAAATACCGGCGAGGAAAAATAAATTTCCGCCAGCATTTACCAGCGCAGGCAAATACTACAATAGTATTGTGGAAAATGCAATACAATATATGTATGTATGGACATATTTATGTGTGTACAAGTAAATACATATACAAGTGTCTTAAGACCAGTAGAATGGACGGCATATAATCTGAGTGCTCTTTTCTGCTTGGTTCCGACAAAAAAAACAAGACCAGTACTCAGAAAGAATATTGTAAACCAAGGTGTCGAAAATAAAATAGATATCTTCTGCCGCTAATGGATGCTGGTTGGATGCCAAAGTGAGACAAGACAATGTCAGCAGGCAATCGCAACAAGGTGAATATAAAACAAAGCAAAATTATGTGAAGATAAAACGTATATGTAGGTAGGTATACAAGAAAAACGACTAAGAGCCGGCTCCGTCTTATTGTTAGTGAAAAGCAGCGCCATTAAGCAGCCAAGCAATCCGGCAGTCCGACACTTCGCGCTCTGATACGGAAGCGGAAATGGCACATAAACGGATGCCAGTCGGGGTGAAGCCGTGCGTGACTGGGCTGCTTGCAACACAACTACCACAACACAACTATGCTCACGCCAGTGGTGGCAAGTGAGCGTAAAGTCATTGGCGAACGTGCAACATTGGAGAAATTTATTTATCGAAGCTATAAATTTGGCGCGCGCGTTTTGTTGGTTGTGATAAGCCAGCCACATGGAAATACGGCTGATTGGACGAAGGAAACCAGTTCACTGCCATTGAAGGTCAAACTAATTGGACTATTTTTATTGCTATGCTGAATGTATGTGAGTGTGAACATACATATGTATGTATACCTGGCATGTGCTAGTATGCCACCAGCATAAGCAGGCCAACCGCGAAAAAGTTTCCGCATACATTAACGCTATACATACATACTTAAATAAGTAAACGTATTTATCGGCGCGCTGATAGACAGATAGATATGCAGATAGATATAAATTGCAATCAAGTCGATTAAGCAAGCGTTAAATCGAATATCGATTAAGGCGCAAACTTGATGGCACCATTTTATCACATTTTTCGCTTCTGCTTCCTCCTGCGCTTCGCAGACAATACCACCACTGCAGAGTGCTAAATTAGCAGCGAAAATATTCATGACTAAACTTATGACCAAGGTGGTAAGGTGCAAAATTGATGTCAAGCAAAATAATTAGCAAAAAAAAAAACTTGATGATAAATTCTGAAATTTGGAGAAATTGAAGCATAATAAATTGCCAATCGTGGGTGCAGAAAATATACGAGTACATACATATATAAGTATGTATACAATAAATATTGGTTTTAGAAGGTAAAGTTAGAGTAGCTGGTACCGAGCAGGAAAAGCACGAATACCTTACTTATGCTGGCTTTTCTCAGTCATTTCGCAATACCATTGGCGAAAAGTATCCTAATTTCTTTCCTTTTCTTAGAAATTTAACCACAAAAGTGCCCTTAATAAAGCGCAGAAAATCGGGAACATTCGTTAAATTTAATTCGGCTAAACATTCTTAAAGTATTTGTTAAAGAAATGGCTGCGCGCCTGGCGGGATAATGGCAATACTTTCAATTTCTTCCTCGTCTCCGCAGCTGCGGCAAAAATATTTTGCTGGATATCCTAACTTAATGCCGCGGATTAGCAAGAAGCGGTCAAGCCGATTAAGAGCTTAGTATTGCTTTTGGTCGAATTTTGGGCAGAAGTGACCTGTAGTCAGACAAATGGGATCCGCGGCCTTCCTTCATGAAGCAAATTTCAAATTGGGTTTGCCGGAGGTAAGAGGCATGCCCCCCTTCTAGGCAGAATTCACCACGAATACGGATATACTTTTTCTTGCCTGCTCGTCGGCCTCGGCACTCAATTGGCTAATTTGGACGTTGATTGGCCATATTTAATTAAAATAATGTAAAAAAAATATAAAAAATGTAAAATTAATAGATGTAGATAAGTATAAATATTTATGTGTACTATAGTAGTATACGTATTTCTATATGTTTAGTCAACAATGAGTCTCCGATTTGCATTGTAGAAAAATATGAAAATATTGTTACTTTGTTTTTACTTACTCACGGCGCGCTGCAATAGAAAAAGCATAGTCAGAGGAGATAACATGAGCCATAACATGATGTTATTGTGGTCGCCTTGGCGCGTCGCATGGACAGATTGAAGGCGATACGCAACACTTTGCCCAAGGATCAACAATCACGGCTGCATGTACAAAAATGTGATGTGACAAAGGAAAATGATGTGAACAACACATTCGATTGGATTGAACAAACACTTGGCGGTGTAGATATTTTAGTTAATAACGCTGGCGTGCTAATACCAGGAGCCTTACTAACACAGAGTCTTAGCGAAATCAATCAGGTGCTGCAAACAAACATTGTGGGCGTGGTTCATTGTACACAACGCGCTTTTAAGTCAATGAAGTCGCGTAATTTCGATGGGCATGTGTTCCTCATAAACAGCCTAACTGGACATGGTGTGTTGAGTTGTCCACCGGATGAGGTGCCCAATTTCAGTATTTATGGACCAAGCAAATTTGCTATCACTTCGATTACGGAGGTTTTGCGGCAAGAGTTTCGTGGCTATAAAACTAAAATTAAAGTTACTGTAAGTACAAATATAAAATGAGATAGTTAATTGTGGAAATCTACGTTTAAATATTGAAATATTTAATATAATTTTTTTTTTTTACAGAGCGTAAGCCCAGGATTTGTGGATACTGAAATTGTACCAGACACATTCCAAAGCGATTGTATGTTGAACCCCGAAGACATTTCAGCTGGTATACTTTATGCCCTCGGTACACCGCCGCATGTGCAAGTGCATGAATTGACCATTAAGCCAGTTGGTGAAGCTTATTAGTCGATTTCGTGATTGTTTATTTGTTTTAAGTGAAAGAAAATAAAACAAAAAAAAAATAGTTACTTAAGAAAAATAATATGTGTTGTACCTGTTGTTTCGGTGATGACAATATAAAAACAAGTTCTAAGCTATGCTTGGCGCTACTGTTAAGAGCTAGTGAGCTTGATAGGATAAGGGGTTTTTTCGCTTACATAATTAAATATTTTAACCGCCCATCCAGAATTTAAAAGAGTAAATCCAAGGCTCTCTTAAAATTGTCTGCGCTTTCAATACTGTCAGCAAGACAATGGGGTATCGTGGGGCATATGGGATGCATTTACCGTAGCTCGATTATACCCAATTGCTACTTCCGTGGCAATGGGGGAAACTCATTTGTGAGATGCGGTAACTTAGCCGTGGAGAGTCTGTGAGTCTTATGGCTGCCGATTAGAACTTAGCACAATTCATAACAACGCGACCCTGCCATATGCGCCAACCACCGGAAGAACAACCTTCTTTTTAAGCATCGGAAATAAGGAATTTTTATACTACCGGCTGGTTAAGCCTGTCTAAATCAGATAGTCTCTCAATCATTGTCTACAACCTTTACTAAAGGTAGGCTCAAGGAACGAGCTGTTTCGATCGGACACCAGAGGGAGAGGGCTGTTAGTTGACTTGCGTTGAGTTGGAATATGAAAAGGAGTTTGGTGTCATGTGGGGTAGCTTCAAGTGCCGGAAGTACATTAGATACATCAGGGTCAAGCCTGGGCAAATAGGAGCTTAATCTATTGCGATTTTCAGACTGCTATAGAACCAGCCAGTCGGTTCTATGTACCGGAATAACTCATTTCCACGCCAGCTGGTTCAGCGTATCGGAATTACTCGAGCAAAGACTTTTGTTTCGGCGATCTAACTATGGTTGAATCGTTGAAGTTTTTTAATCACCAAACCCCAGATCAGAAACTAATGTATACTGAGTATTCCAAGTACCCAACGTCGCTTACGTACAACACATGCTACGAGTGAAGTCAACTAAGTACCTGGTTAGGCCCTAGGACACATACGAAGTAGACCATACGGTTTGAACTGTCATGTTGCTGAAGTAAGCAGAAGCGCCTCCAGAGATCATAAATTAGAAATATAACACCAGATCGCCTATTCCCCAACATTTGTAAAGTCTTGTTGCGAGTATTGCGTGAACACCTAAATTCTACTGGCGACGAACTGAATGAACCTAATCGCACGTGAAATAGAGGCCACGAAAAGAAGTTGGCCTGATTAAGCGATGTCTGCTGCCATTTTATATGAATTTAAGTTATACATTTTTCATACGACCGTACAATTGCTGGAGTAAACCGATGACTTCGACATCTTCGGCCTTATCAACCGCGCCGTCTGCTATTTTTCCGCCTCGAAGGAGAACTGAACGAGCTATATCCTGCCAGGAAATGAGAAATTGACCGTGAGATATATTCTATAAGTCTCTCGTCATGCCAGTCTTGATGTATTGCGCAGAAGGGTAGACGATAACATCATGTGATGAGGGGACCCATGAAATGGATAAAAATGGCAGAGGAAGAGAAAGGCCTCCTCTACGTTGGAAATAGTAGGTCTAGGGGCTATTGGCTTCAGTTGGCATTTTGAATTGGCGTCAGTTTCCACCGAAGACTGACGTGATTTTTTGATCTCTGACGGCTGAGATCCCAAAGGCGGTTTAGTGCCATTAAAGAAGAAGGAGAAGTATTAAATTCCAGACTTCAGAGGTGCTGCTGTAAGTGGTAGGTCGTGCTGTAAGCACGAAAAACAGAGAGCTCATCACAAACTGTTGGCGCACACAAATTGATGTTGAGGTATGACTCGCCTTTTTTTGCTGTGTTATCACCAGAATAGAAATGCTTTCAATCATTATAATATTTTCAAGTTCAGCTACTATTTTTAAAAGTATGCATGTATGTAGATTCTAAATAGACTTTTATTGGCACAACATTGGACGTAAGTGTTTATAAGCTCTTTTTAACTAGCAATCATGCTGATTACAATTGGGCGGCATAGCATAGAGATATTTGCCCAGCCGGAAAAATGAGGAGAGGAAGCTCTTCCCATAGCTCTGTCATTCGAAGGAAGATGGGAAGGTGTGCTTCCAAGGCAATGGAAGTCAAATAAATATCTGTCAGTGGACGGCGCGCTTCCAAAGCAGCTCAAGTTGGGTCTGTTGCACAGTAAAATTTGAACTGTACCATTATTTTTGCATGTAAATTTTCTTCTTTTAAAGGAAGCCGAATCGGATGGCCTTGAAACTCTAGCCACTCCATGCAAAATATGTAAAAAAGAGCACGCCAGGCCTCTTGCTGCAAAGGTTTCAAAATAAAGGCTACGAGAGAGCCGGCTTTTTCTAGTTTTGCCGCGCCGGCGTCTATTTCTGCAAAATTTGATGGGCGGTGTCTATGATTGCAGTTCGAACAAGGCATTGAAAAAAATATATATTTTAGTCAGGTTTCGATAATATGGCAATACTAATTTGACCCATATTTATGAATTTGAACATACATACGTATGTACTACATACCCATGTATGTACTCTTCGAAAGGCAAACATCTCATCACGCGCTCGATTCGCAGCAAATGTACATACATACATACATACATATGTATTTAGTACGCAGCTTAGCTATGTGTGCTATCAGTTTCCAGTTGAATCGACATCGTTTACACAGAATCACTCAAAATTTGCAAATATTGAAATGAGCAGGCGAATGTACAAACATTAGGGTGGTCCAAAAATGCATGTAAAAAAGCAAAGAAGAATTTTAATGATCTTACCCCCTAACTTTGTTCTACATAAAAAAAAATAATGCTATGTTTTTTTATTTTGAAATCATAAAATATATTTAGAGGTGACTCAAAGCGCTAAAAGTTTTCCATGTATTTCACTGTGGAAAAAAAATACTATAGTGCGCATATATCAGGTTTCCTTGCTGTTGGACATACGAACAATGACTCATACTCGGATTAACAAGATCAATTCGTGTTTTCGAGAAAAAAAGTTTTCATGGCCAAATTCTTTTCTCAAAAATATGAAAATTTATCGCATAATTTTAGCATACAAAGCAAATGTAGGCCAAAAAACGATGAATTTTCAATATTTGTAGAAAAAAAAGTTTGGGCTTATAGTTAGTTACTCAAATTTTTGGAACATGAATGTTTTTTTCGAGAATACGAATTGATTTCGTAAAACTAAGTATGAGGCATTATTCGTATGGCCAACAGCTATCAAACCTGACATATGCGCATTGTAGTTTTTTTTTTAAAGTTAGTGTTTGTTCCACAGTGTTTTATATGAAAAAAAGTTTCCTGGAAATGGTATAGAATTCTTGAAAAACCATAGTTTTCGATCGGAAAACTCTGCTTCCCTTCAGGAGACTTCAAATAATCTAATAGTTTATTGTTTATTTTAACATTTTTTAATACATGCTAAGGACTTTTTATGGGCCCCTTAATTTTTTCCATTTCGATTTTTTAAGGGTGGTTTTTGGGGGATCTATAAAAAAATACCAGTCTTAAAAATGGTTAACTTAACAACAGGGTATTATTATTAGAAGCCTTCTGAAAAGAAACAGAGTTTTCCGATAGAAAAATATTAATCTTCAAGAATTCTATATCATTTCTACAAAAAGTTTTTTTTTTCCAATATAAAGCACCGTGCCTCAAAAACAAAAAAGTTCAAAACACACGAAGCAATCAATATACTCATGAAACTATGGGCCAAATATAGTAAAACTGAATTTTTTTTAAGGACTTTATAGCTACAAAGATATGATTAATTTTAAAGATTAAACAGAAAATTATGTAGAGTTAAAAAAATATTAAAATTTTTTTGGTTCACAAGAAGAAATAAATATTGAAAATTCCATTTTAATTAAATTTATTTTTTTGAGCTTACAAAGTTAGCACCCCAAAATTCGAAGATGTGAGCGAGTGTATATTACTCCTTAGCATATAATTAAAAAAAAAAAGTATTGCAAAATTTTCAAGTATATTCAAGGATAAAATTTTAAAATTGTAAACATTTCAATACCTACTCGTCCTTATGAACTCAGAAATTTAATTCATCTTAATTCTACAGAATTTTCTCTTTAACTTGATACCTAAATATCAGCTTTGATCCACCTCTATATGTTTTTCGATAAAACCAAAACAAGAGTATGTATTTCTTCAGTATGGAACAATCCTAGGGCTTAGAACATTACAATTCGGACTTCATTTTTTTTTGAACTACGCTAATGTACATACGTTTGGTTGTTTGTGCAGTAAAAATACTCAGAAAGCGGCGGTGAAAGGAGCAATGTGGCTCATTAAGAGTTCAAATAAAAAGTGCTTAACGCCTTTGAAGCCGTAGCTGATAGCCAAAGATGCACCAAGGATGCAGCAATTCAAACACAGGCAAATTTACATTTACGCATACTTAAACACCAACTGAACACATGTCGAATGTGATTATGAGCATTTTAAAGTGGCAATTGTGTGTTTCAAGATATGTATACATACATATGTACGGTGACCATCTAAACCTACGATAAATAAAGATTTTTATTTTTTTTTCAAAATGATGTGGGAATACGTACATGCAACTTTTATGATCGTAATTCGCCATCCTTTGCTGCCAAAATGCGTTCATCATAATTCATACCACACGACGAAGCCAGCGAGGCTTTATTGTTCTTTTACAGTGGAACTGGAAACTCGGTGTGCAATACGATTCTGGGTACAACTTTTGCTGTGCTTTTTTAAACAATGAATTTTACTCAAAGTATACTAATTTTTCCAAGAAAATGTTTATATTTTAGTTAATTTTTTACAATTACAGTCTTAGCCAGAATTCGTGATTTATAGATTATACAAAGATTACCGATAAAATAAAAACCCTTAAGTTGAATGCGAAACAAACTGGCGAAGGCTTCCATTTATATTTTTTTTGCGTATTGGCTCTTTAAAAATTGACCTCATCAAAATCCAAAGCTCATTTAAAGGACAGCTCGGGACTAATAGCGTCCTTTAATTTGACAAAAAT